AATGGCACACAGCGCATTGGTGGTTTAAAGAAGCACACAAAATCTATGAGCCAAGTCCTGCAGTAGGATACATGCGAAACGAGGCAATAAAAAGAACCTGGGAGAAGGGAAAAGAATTTGAAGCAAATTTAAGAAGAGAAAACACCTGAGTTCTCACATTACCAAAAAGGAATTATAAGAAACATGATCAGGATCCTAAAATAAAATCATTCCCATAGCCACTTCCTTTCCACTTTCTCAATTCAATCACTATTCGATCCCCGTTCTAACCGTGAAAATCAAAAATTTCGACAATTAGACATAAAAATTCCAAGATGGATTGACGTGATTGAAGTGAATAACATATTTATGCCGCGCTAAAATTGTATTCCATTTAGGCCAAAGAACAATGCGGAGTATACTATGAAACAAAATTGAAAACCTGAAAGTGTTTGCACTACTCAACTGTAACTCGTTGCATTCAATTCAAGAGAAATCGATTCCTAAATTCGGAAAGCTAGACCAAACTTGTTAAATCGAGATCGGTTTTAGAGTGTTCATGAATTCGTTAAAAATAGTAAAATGTGTGAGGACATTGACACGCAGCAAGCTCAAAACGAGGAGTTTTACTGAAAACAAATTTGAAGAAAAAAAGAAATTCAGTTATATGTTGATTATGAGAATAATACTTCTGCAATGTGTATTTAAGATCTCGGATTCTAATATGAATTGGGAGGATAGATTTACACCGTCGAAATAGCTGTACTTTGTTTACCGTTATCAAACACGGTTTGTTTGATATACGGTGCATCTCAACAAACGCCGTCATTGGTTCTTTATTTATCGATCCAAAATAGCAACGTAAAACAGTTTAAATTAAGTCGAATGGAATAGTAAGTGAAGATGCGTACGGGCAACAATCAATCGTAACATATTACTGGGACTGAAAGCATTTGCCACTTAGATGATTTCCTTCTCACGGAGCAAGTCACCGGTGGAATACTACCCATATACCTGGTTGATTGTATCCGAGGTTACTAACACAAATGGCTTGATAACAGTCTGGCCGGAAACAGATCAACTTTGATTGCACTGCACACAGTCCAGAAAACCTATTCGGATATTATAATTAAATAATCTCGACCTATCTGCACAATCAGACGGTTGTGATCAAGGAGCATTAGAGGTTGCCTATAATCTGCTGTGGATTCGATCATAATTTGAACAGAAAACCCCTTTGTGAAGCCAGATAACTTGTTAGAATTCTGCGAATGCTTCGGTAATTCTTCAGTAACCCAGTTACTTAACCGGAACATAAATAAGTATTGATGAACAAGATAAGAACACATGAATGTAATTTGGCTAACGCAAACATACATATCAAAGCTACCAATTCACTCGTACAGTATCCGACTTTTACTTTTACTAGTACTGTCTTTGGTTTCTCATTTAAGCATCGACAACGATCTTGTATACCAGTTCACCATGGTGGTAATTGCCATTTAACTATACATACCGACTTGACTTTTGTGGATTGGCTCTTAGCATTGCGCGTCAGTTACAGTGTCTAGGCTGCGCTTATCAGAGCAAGTTGATTAAACGTTTCATACATCCCTAAAGTGGAATTGTCCCTTTCAAGCCACAATAAAGGGTTCTCTACATGAGAGCTATTGTTCTTGGATTACTTTATTGTGTTGAAATCTGGCAGTAGTTAAAAATCGAGAAAAAGCTGTCCTTTTTTAAACATTAAACCAGTGGGGACACTTTAGCTCACCTCTCGCCGGTTGGCATACATTTCAGTGTAGGTATTGAATAGCAGTAGCCGAGTAAGAGTTTTCGGATCCCATAATTCGATCAGTGAACTGCCTCGAACCGCCAACCACACACCGTGTTTACCCAATTTTAGAGCCAAGATCAAATCCAAAGCGTTGTTTGAAATGAAGAAATGTCCTTGGAAGTCCAATGTTCTGTGCACAAAAATATGATGACACGTCGATGTGTTTAATTATATATCCGTTTGCCTTGTGATTAAAGACTCAAATCAAATGTAATTTACTCAAACCAATACATATAAAGGCATGACAGAATTCCCAGCCAGCTAAGGGTGCACCATCATGGAGGTCGCAAATTCAGAGGAAAAAGTGCAGTGATATCATTTAGTTGCGTAACAGAATATCGTATTTTTGAACAATGCGGATCGAAATATAATAATTCAATCATGTAAAATGAAGCAAATGCATGATTGTGTAGATAGGGAAAGTTTATTTTATTTGAAATAAAGCTTTATCAAACGGATATGATCATGATGCCGAGAAACTGTTTGCATGTAGTGGTATTTTTTGCTTACCATAGAAATCACATCGTGTTAATGCGGTAAACTGATATTACTTATTTATTTTGGTAGAAAAATGGGTAGAACTGAAATAAAAACCTAATGAACACTAAATCGGGAGCCTAGTCATGCATTTTTGTTTCGTGACGGACCTTTCACAGGTTTTGGATTGTTATATTCTCGATTGTTGCCACTATGTGTCATTCTCTGCTTCGTATGAGGTACGCATTATATTTGAGGGTTTTCTAGTAAGACAAACAGTATACTCACTTTATTCATAAAGCAGCTGATCTTCTAAAGCGGTTTATCAATTAAAAATGACCCAAACATATCCGTGATAACCAACTACTTAAGACTTTATTATTTTCAATTATTTTAAAAACCTGCAAACAAAATGAAGTACTGAGGATCACCATCTTTTCTGGGTGGGTCTATCTACATTTCATTTAAGGTAGAAGGACATAAGTCACACGGCAGAATGTTTTTGCGAAACAATTTCACCTTGTTAATTGGACTGGGATAGATAGTCTTCTGAAAATAATTCCTCGGTGAACACACTTGACGATCGTAGAACGCATGCAATGCACGCATAAAATCTTTTGGTTCACTGACCACAATAAGAACCGGACCGAAAATTTCGCTAGCAGAATGTGATTACAATACAACCAGGACTGTTGATAGCTGAACACGAAACTGCATTTAACAGAATCACAGTCCGACAAATCAGCTGTTTTCAAACGTTCACAATCATGTAGTCAAGTTTCCCCATATATGTACAGCCGGCTGAGTGCTTATGCTATCAAGGTTGAGAAAGCAAATGGTGTTCACACAACTAGGTTTGAACTGGGCTTCACATAACATGTGAGTTTAATAAAGAACTCTTTATTTTCCTTTCTCTGCCAGTATTATGCTATATTCAAGTAACTATAATAAGCTTTGTTTGTAAATTTGTATTATTGTTTTGGAACTGTTAAAATATTTCCAGTTTCTAAACAACCCATTTTTCTTGATGGACTGGCTTAGCATAGGAAAACGAACCGTAAAATGGCAACTTAGTGCCTTGTTAGTAAAACTGAATTTTAAAATTACTTGGTCAACCGATAAGCCATTCGGTAGGTACTACGAGATTGATACCAGTGAAACCCTTATGTGCATTAACCTGTTATGGTGAAATTCAGCGTTGGCATCTTAGAGGACTTATGAGGGATATTTGGAGAAACAATGTGCCTCAAGATGTAACACGTTCGCAACACAATAGGGGGTGCAGGGACCTTCTGTCACGGACATGCATACTGCACTAAGAGTTGGTAAAATGGAAATGAATGTTTGCATGAAAGCATTACTGATAACTCACGCTGTATTAAATATGTATATGCCGTTTCCACTGGCACACCACAACTGATTGTCCACCAACAAGATTGGGGAGACACGCAAAAATCCGATGGGGAACACGTAAATGGAATCTTGTGGATGTTCACTACCAGCGTTCTGAAACATAAAATAAATTCAGTATACATTAAAAATTACCAGAAGAATGTCACTTTGGGCTACAATCTTTATTTTGTAGTTTTACCTAAGCCTAAGGAAAATCGAAAAGGAAATGGATAATGTTTATTTACACTCCACTGGAAAGTGCTTATTCACGATTCCTCTATTGAACGACAAAATCGAATGTTAAATAAATGTGTACAATACAGAAGATGAGGTGGGAACAACAACACAATGTCATCAACACAATTCTAATGCAGACCGATTGCAGCTCACCTCAATGACCACAAGTTCCCCGTTACTGAGACCAGCGAAAACCTTGTTCGTACCGTCTGAATCCCAGCGAGCAATGGCCAAATCAGTGACGCTGTCATGCACCTGTAGCTCCCACAAAATTTGTCTAGATGTATTATAAAATAATAGAGGAGGGCAAATGTTTATGAAGTGGTTGTTTTGTTCGAAAGTAAGATAAAAAATGTTTACCACATCGTCACTCAGGAATAGATCGATGAAAACACAAAGTTCCCTAGTTTCACAAACTAATATTCAGTGTAACTGCTGCAAAACATCACTCACTTTGTCTCGCTTGAATAAGCGCAAATCTTGCTGGACATCATTCCAAAAAGCACAATGTCGCTGGTTAGTTTTCGTAGACAGCTAACCCGTCCCTCCAGTTGCTTCACACGATCCAGGGGTGGAAATAGGAGGTAAAAAACAATGAAACATCAAATTACAATTTATAGATGTGTAGTAACGTTTTTATAGGTATGCTGAGATATATCAAATTTAGAGTAATTTTTGTAATCGGAAAGTGTCATTTGGCCGATACGCTAATGAATCATCTAGTGCAACCTTGAAATAGTTATCTAAAAGAATAGAAGTTAAACTCCGTAATAAAACGAGCCGTTCTGTTGTGCTACACGAGCTAAATGGAACGGGAAATTGGACGCTGAGATAATGATACCCCGCTCCTTATTAGTGAAACAGATTCAACTCAACATACGGCAGTATGACGTCACGAAATCTGGTTGTTAAAAGATAAATTAAACCATAAGTAGATCATCAGTAAAAATCAGTAACAACGAAAAGTTTATCATATTTAAAGGTAAACTGGAGTAGTAAAGAAAAATTGACAATCTATTTTGAAGCGAGTTCTGCGAAGACATGTGCTTCACTAGTTCTATCTTTAAGCCGAATAAACGAGGTCGAACTAAGGTTCAATTTTTTTTATCTACGTATACCATTCAGGAAACAATCATCAATCCATATCCAATATTAAGGTTTCGGAAGAGTTTGATTCCTCAAACATTTTGGTCATATTTTGTAGCTTAAAGTATTCAGGAGCTTCACAAATGGGAGCAGTTTAATAAGCGTAATCTGACTTTGAACTCCCACTTTAGACAATGAAATAGTTCTATTCCCTTTGTTATCCTCCAGTTTTGTGTCTTGCCCAAGTCAACTTTCGCAGTCATTTTCTGAGACAGTTTAGTATTACGGGAAGTAAATTGCGGGGCCAAATAATTCTCCACTTACATCCAAGATCATGTGTTTCATTCGACATTCTTGAACCTCCACCATAGTCATTTGAGTACAGAGTCGTCCACCGTGACAAATCCATACACAATCTGTAATAGGAACAGGATTGAATTTAGGGACTGACGAATGAGGCTAACGAAACGACCAGCGATGTAGTGCTCAATGCAAAAGCAATCAAACACGCAAACAAGTAGATGCAATCACCCGCAGTGCAAATAAATGATGGTAGAGACTAACTGTGATGAAAGATCAAGTAAAAACGTGAAATGTTCAAAATCGTCTCGAGACTTACCGTCGCTGAACGATAGTGCGGCTTGAATACACGAAGGTTCTACACTGCTCTTTTTGCGACGTATTACCAAGTGAGACTGTGAGATAGAAACATATAATTGAAATACAAGAAAAATATTGTCAAATTTAGTCAATTATTTCCCAATGGATGTGAAGTGCATAAATGAGTGTACTATGAAGTTGAATTTTATTAAATGCATATTTACGAGTACTGGATGGATGGATTTCCTCCTAAACCAACTTACGTCATCTGCGGCTTCCTCGTCGATCTCTTTGATCACGTTTTGCCACAACCGTTTCTTCTCACTCAGCTCCTTACTCAACACCTCGTAATGATGCATCTGTAGTGTGTTGATTGTGTTCCTACTCGCAAACGGATGAAGTTCCTCGTAGGCGGTCTAAAGACAGGATTGGTAAGAGNTAGACTGATAGAATAGCAATTATCACTTTTCTAGAGGAATGCGCTGATCGGTAAAAACACTGTAAATTATTGGATTCATAAATGTCGAATGTCCTTCCTCAGGACAGTCTACCAGAGGTAATAAGAACCACAGCGTTCAGTTCAACCAGACTCCAAGCACAGTGTACACGAGCATATATATGATCGATTTTGCGCAACAGTGGCTTGCAAATTATGGTTCATTAAAACAGAGACAAAATCTGTCCTCTCCATTCTGTTGTTGTTGTTGTTGTTGCTGCTGTTCGGGCAACAGTTTATGCACAAAGAAAACACGAAAAACAGAAATGGTTACAAACTGCGTCACAACATCACAGGCCCTTTCGGAACAAGGTAAAAGATGGTTTTTTATATGCTGTGCTGCTGCTGCTGGTATACACACACAAACTGGGAACAAGCAGGTAACAAGCCTGTTAAGGTTGCAATACTAATGATAACTTCAAAGCAATAGCCTATTTGATTGTACGAAAGTGAATAGGGTTAGAGATTAATCAATCGTTCCTTATGAAAATTATGATAACACGTAAATACACATCGACTTCACCATTTTCGTTCATTAGTATTGTAACACCCACACTCACCTGAACAAGGCTTTCTGCATCGTAGGTCATCCGAGAGGCAGCTTTTAAACACTTCCAAAAGCTGATCGTATCGGTCTGTAGAAGTAGCATTTCCTCATTGCGTTTGAGCAAAGCCAACGCAAACCGGAACAAACACTTGGATCCCTCGAGTAAAAATATATCCCAAATGCGAATCAGTGTCTGCAATGAAATCGACAAATGGTAAAATTTGAGGGGGCGGGGTGGGGGCGAGGCCATATTTCACTGCACATATCGAAACTGATGGAACGATAATTAACCTGACTGAAACATGTATCCGTTTGTTTCAAATGAAACATTAGCTTTTTTCATTAAATTTTTCCCGAAACAGATTTAACAGCTCCGTTCTGATTTAGTTGGCATGAAGCTCGGAAAGATGAAACATGAACTGGCTGACTCTTTCTAAACGAGGATACAGGTTCATTTCAAGCACGAGGGTCAAGTTCTCGACCTCAACCGTGAGTGATTTTTGATAATTTTATGTTAGTATTTCAGTGATTATTAACTGACTTAGAAATTGAGGGCATCCGGGCCTAATTTTAGCAGTCCATTGAAGGAAGTCTCGTTTCAGACAATATTCAAAATCTGCGTGAAAGAAAACTCCTCTTTGGTCTGCTTGGCCAGTATTTTTAATTAGAGATTAGTGGGGTCGAAACACTTTGGTGATTACAAAAGCCATGTTTATTGAGCCTAACCCTAATTTGCTCGCATATCACAACGGAAATCAAGGCAACACTTGAATCAGGAACTTCCCACCGGGGGATTCTTTTATACTTTTTCATGCCAAAATGTTTGCAATTCCTGGACACAATTGGATTTGTGGGTTAGGGTGAAAGTGACAAAAACGAATCAACATAGTCAGTTTTGGCAAATAGATTGAATCTAGAGAAAGAGCTCAGTGGTATGCTAAATTTACTTTGCAAATCAATTTTTCTTCTCAAGTGTTTTGGTTGAACTCACGTAACCGATGTGGAATACTCGGAAGTGTGTATTCATTGCTAAGTTATGCACATGCTTACTCATTTCGCCCGATAATACTGACAAGGGATCATTTGGACCCGATTGCACCCAAAAGCCTTGGACACTGAGGCCCAAATAAATTTTTGATTCTATCACTTCATCACACCTCAACGGAGATTAACTGCCCTCTGAACTGTGCCGCCAAGTAAAGAATATTATTAATTAGTTCAATTTTCTTCCCAAACGTATTTGTTATTTACATTAATTTTGGGAAGATATTGACAGCAAGAGATCGCTATTCACAAACCAGTATTGTTATGATATCTAAGAATAAAGCATAAGTTTTCTGTTGCTACAACAAAACTCCAAAATGAATGTTCACCAGTGAATTCTAGAATTAATACTCCTAAGGATGAATAGGGAAATATTACAAATGAACTACTTCACATGCGGCTGAATATATGGCCTTTCAGTTGTACTTTGGTGGTACAAGATGAAACTTGGGATCGCACAGAGTTTATATTGATTAACTCGATAGGTTTGAATGCACTAGTGCTCATGTGATCATATTAGCTTAGAACAAAAGCAAGGGACATTGGTGTCCCCCAGAACCACGCGTATTTTGTAGTCAAATAATGATCTATGCAGATTCTGATTTGATTAAACTGACTGAAAATGAATACACGCGAACAGTGGACCAAGGATAGGAGTTACTGTTCACATCGGTAAGTTAGCCATGTGATAAATGTAGACATGACGTGGCCTATTTCCATCGAGTGACTTCCAATATTCCACTGTGAAATATCTTTATCAAGATTGCTTTTTAAAAGAATGATTAGATATTAGTTTACTGTATAAAGTATTTCTAAAACATTTGAACTATCACCACTAAAATAAAAGTGAAATCAAACTAACGTGCAGACTCGGACAACTGGAATGCCAAGAACAGTGCGAACCGTGGAAACAAAGGCATAATTGTATGTCCCGAAAATTGAGAGATTACTTCGATGTTTTATCCCTCAGAATTTATTCATTTGCTACACGAGAATGAAACAGAACCGAAGACCTTGTCTATGCGAACATAAGACAATACAAAGATATCATAGGAACAAATGCTTAATCATTTGAGGGGTGGTTAATTATTTTACTCTATTAGATCTCTGCTCCTGAAGGGATTTCAGACATACTAAATACTGAAAATCACGTTTGCTTCAGAGTGAGGATACCATGAAACACATACGCAAGTGTCAAAGACAGCAAGATCTTTTGCCTAAACAATCTCGTATCCAATTTGAGGTGTACTATGCACAAAATGCGAGTACTTTGTAGCGTATCTTCTATGGCATTCCACCTCAATAACTGCTGAACGATACAAACGCAATAAGAAGTTACTACCAACCATGTCATGCTGAATCATTTGTACAAAATCGGAAATTTGGCGCATCAACCCTGTTCTCATTTGCACATTGGACATCATCTGCTTGCTTTCTCATTGCGTTGCAGGATGTCAAATTGTGTGGACTTTTTCCAGCAGATTACAATTATGCTGTTCATTACAAACCGTCTCATGGCTCCGGTCAGTCTGTTGCCGATTGCAAACAATGCCACACCGGTGCCGAACAGTGACGCAGAGATTCTACCACAGGGGACTCGGTGAGCCAAGGAAGACGAAAGCTTGGTTTAAACTTTTTATTTTACTAATGTGCTCAGCGAAAATTTCCAGAAATAAAAACTCTCAAGTGTCTTTGTCAGAAGTTGGTGACGACGTGAGTGGCAATAGAATTAAGTAAAGGTTTTTCATCTCTACAACCTTTGCTAACTCCCTTGATCAGTTTGTCGCTCTATCGGACTAACAGTCGTTTTATGTTTTCATCATATAAAAAAGAGAACTGAGTACTTATGGGGCATAATATCGCAGATTCGGCGGTGATATATCCGCTTGAAGGACTGAAATAGCTGATAAAGTGGTATGATTGATATGAATAACCCAAAAGCGGAATGCTAGTGATACTACTAACAGCAAAGTGGTTGACATCAAATGACGGTGAAACAATAAATGAGTCAAACTCGATAGACGTTCTCAGAGAGAAAACGTCAGAAATAAAAAAATAAAGAACCATAGTAAACCAGTTGGCATCATCATCATCGTCATCATCATCATCACCACCCGAATCATTTTCGCATTTGTAACCATTTGAAGACGATTTTATTTGTCTTCAAAACTGAGTTGGCTCAATTGTCTGCTTACAGAACTTGAGATTTTGCTTGCTAGGGAAACCTACTTCTGGACGTCTCTCATGTATCGCATCCCGTTGGAACCGCCAAATATGCAATACGCTTTCATAAAGCCCTGGCAATCTTCAATGCGATTAAACACAAATACTGACAAGTCTTTTTGAAAGGTTCCCTAAATACCGTTTCTCTCCAGATAAGTTCCTAAATTCCACCAAATATGCGGCTTTTTAATCGTTTGAAGTCAGCTTTGAGAACCACGGTAAATCCCTTATTGCTACTTGATTGTCTTTCAATACAGGTTTTTGGCAGAAAATAGTACCGAATACAGGACTGACAAAAGTCGTCTGGGGTTTATGACAAACTTTACGTTCTACGACCAGATGGGTAATTCAATATACGGTGAGGTCAGAAAGGATGGGAATGTGGAAATTTTCGTGGACGATATGCAGAATTTCGACCTGTCTCAGATTCTTGTGTGAGTTTAAGCTGACAAATAATTGTGATATTTCTCTTTGTATTCACGGACATCATGGTATGCTTATTGTTGTGCCTTCTTAGGTCCCATTATTTCACAGTTCACTCTTGTGTCAATTGTTTTCACCTCTTGCATCGTTAACCACAAACATTCGAAAGCGTAAACTAAATCCCCAATCGAACCCTACGGGCCCAATACCTAATCCAATAACCGTACGAATTACACAGCATTCTTGGCAAGTACTCACGAAATTATTGAACATAAAGAGTTATTATTGTCAATCTCAGCCCAAAGGTTCACATATCGACATCGAAAGCGACCCAAACATCGCATTCCAGATTGGTATCCATAAGGAAGAAAAAACTGTTCATTGTCCATTCTCGCCCATCGCACACAGCCACACATATCACTGCGTTTATGTATGTTTATGCCTAAATCACTTAAGCGCAGTTCAATTTCGTCCGCCAATAGTATCGATTATTCTGATTTAAAAATAAGGTAATTATGCTAGTAAGTATGCTGTCAAATTCATAAATTGTTTGACTAATAATACGTACAACAACGGTTCACCAACAAAAATTGCCGCAATCATGTTTACATGAAAACAAACAACGTATAAATTAATAAAAGAAAAAAAATAAAGCAGAAGAATAACAAAAACATTAGCTGGATATTTGTGTAGTCCATTGATAACTGACGGCACGAGATCGAAAAACAACTCATCTATTTCTTCTTTTTATCATTGCCAGCAGCATTGTTCGGTATACTGTGTTTTAGAAGTTTAGAAATTATGATTTGGATCCTATATTTGCCTCTTTAAAACTGTTCATATTCCACTTAAGTCAATCTTTTATTATGGCGTGCTTGTAATTTTTTTCCGTCGTATTTTCCTTCGGGCTATTGTCGCATAAACAACACTGGTAGTGTTCCGCAGGTATAAATTTGGAAAACGTCGGACGGATAATGGATTATCAGTCAGCTATTTGATGCAAACAACGAACCAATAAAACAAACGCATTTTTTAGATAAACAAACCCAACTAAATGAAAGGCGTTGTTGATTGGTTTACAGCTTTCCCGAAAATCTAAATTCCGGTAAGTGCGTTCATTTAAGATATGATATTTTCTCTTGATCGTAACTTGTTTATTTCATTCGCTAATAACCTGTTCCGTGGTCTATAGATGAAAGCAATAATGTGCACTAAACAGGAAGAATAGACTTGTCTCGCGATTGCAATAGAGCCGGATTTCACCGTCAAAGTGCATGAACTCACGAAAAATTGATTGACTTATTGAGAAGAAAATCTCCAATGGTTACAAATGGGAACTTAGCTCAGTGAGTGTTCTTCTGAATGTTTGAAAGAATGCTGCATTGAGCAGGTCAATCGTGTCACGCAACTAGGAATCTCTGTGGAATAGCTGCGTCTTTTCGGTGCTTGCTGGTCTGAAGTGACCAGGAACGGAGGATGTTTTGTCGTTGGTTTCAATACCAGGGAGCTAATTCTGACACTAAACGCTCATCGGCAATGTTCAGTGCATCTAATTCGGGAGGTACTCGAAGTATAGTTCATTTCATTCAATGAGATGACAAGTCAGTAAATCTAGGACGCAAACGATTATACCAGCTACAGTTACCAAATTTGTGCCGGTCGCTGAGCAGAGCACTTCGAATTGCATTTCAACTGATCTTGAGCGCCCGGGTACGCAAATAGTTTGACCCGCGCGTTATTTGGTCTGTCGAAACGAAATCATAAATAGAAAAATAAATGTTTAAGGTTATTCGGTTGCTTTAAGGCGGCAGATTGCAAGACTCTGACAGGTTTGTGCTAGCTCTGTTTAAAGACGCTAGCGTTCAACTCTTAAAGAAACTGAAAAATACCATCCTTTTTCATGAGGTAGAGGGAATGGATGCCGAAACCGGTCTCCCACAAAATTACATCGAGTGATTGCAATAGCCAAAGGGACAGGTCTAAATCCAATAGATTTCGCAGGTTAGTGGTAATGCAATGGTGAATACGTACCTCTCGGGGGTGCATAAAGTGATTGTTTGAATAGACCTGACTTGACTATGTAAAGCTAACCCCAGAGGAACAGACTAGGGTTTGTAAAGGCAACGGATATATTGATCAATTCATGATCTTTGGTCAGATGCAGAATAATTTTGATGTACTTTAAGGTTTTATCACAGATTCCGATCAGTTTTGTTTAATGAGTCAATTGAGGTTATAAGTTGAATCTATTTTCAAATTAGTTTTTACAAAGCGATGTCTTGACCTTTTTCTTGTTCGAAAAGATGCATTCCGTATTTTCAAGGTTTTATTATGATAGTGCATGCAATCCGTTGTCCACATTTGTTCAATGATAAATTATGATATTTGCAAAAGCATGCTTGATGTGAGGGGTTAACGCAATGTTTATACAATCTACACATTCTTTAGCGCGAAGGAAAGCAGCACAGTCTCGAGGAGCACAGTACATGCCTGGGATTCGGACAACGCAAGGAATGAATCTTGTTGAATTTCACCAACAACGCAGAAAGAAAGGTGAATCCTAAGTTACTACGTTCCGGAACTACTTGTTTTCGAGTAAAAGTGTTCAGAATCCGGTGAAAACGGAACTCTCAGTTCGGTTGAGCTCCAAAAGAAGTCAGGATTAGTGCAAAGAAGAGCAGTGTGAATTACCTTCTAACACAGTCTAGATTCAAACTGGTGTGAATACACACACACACACACACATATATATATATATATATATATATATATATAGTATGCAACATTGCAACACATTTTCGAATCATCGAATATGTGCACAGATTAAATATCAGCTCAAAATGCAGTCGGTAAAATGGCTTTGTTCAGCTCATTCTTTAACCTGTACAATCATGTTTATACAAAACAAATTAAGTGAGCTGAAACAGNGAAACAGAAAAGAGTTCAAAGCATATGTGAACTTTAGTCAGTGAGATTGCTGTACATTTTGATTGTAGGTAATCTTTTTTGGATGTACTGTCCCATTTTGTCAACAGTTGAGCTCATTTGTGAATTCTTCAACACAGCAATAATATCCGTAGGCATCCCAGTAAAAACTCCTAAGAACTTTACATTTTAGGGACAGAAAATGTGTAATCTTTAAGAAAGTTGATCGATACTCTTCTGGGTACTTGAAGACAAAATATACGGTGCATATGTATATGACAATGGCATAAGATGGTGAGCACTGAGTTTAAAAATCATCTGGAATGCTTTTGACTAATTACGACACAAATATTTCATCTAGTTTTATTCATTTGAATGTGGTTATACACTCTTAGGCATTAGTCTGCGGTAAACACATGTTTGCGTAAACTGTTTTCGTTTTCTGTTATAGAATTAAAGTGGTTCTCCATTTAACAACGATATATGCATTTTTCTCGAAAGGAGAGAAAACGCACAACTCAGATGAAAGTTCATAAATATGAATCATTTTGCAATACTTTTAGGATTATGCTTTTTGTACTTAAAACCTATTTTGAAAAGGGAATTCCCGATAATCATAGCTGACCTAATTTCAGGGCAGATATCCAATAAATTATGATGACCATCCGAAAAGTATATTATTATCAGTTTAAAATTTCGTGATTGCACTTTGAAATTTTGCTTCTAGCGTCGGATAAATCATCGGCTTTTGAAATGGAGACCGTAGAACAAGATGTGATTCGGGATTGGGACTCGCCAACACGGAGACACATTGAAGAAACAGAAGAAAATAATGTCAGCCCGGTGCTCTCTAATGAAGACAGCAAAAATAGACACGGATTCTGAGAAAGTAACAAATGTTTCGTGATATGTCGAGACGAAACGGTAAGCTGCTGGGTGTTGATAAAGTGGTGTCTCCGAAAAAAGAGCTTGATATATCAAGTCAAATATCGGTGAACCAACTGCATTCTTCAGTTTAGCATGGTTATTTCCATGTTTATACTTGAACAGACAAAATAGGATCAATAGGTCTTAAAGTGATATTCACTAAGATAACCGTATTTTGGTTAGGCAAACTAACTAACTGCGGTTGACAGAAAAATCATATTAGAAATAGGTAAAAGTGTTTTATTTAGTAGAACAAAAGATACATATGAAAGATTCGATCGACTGCCTTTAATCACTGCCGAGAGCACTAGGAATCAATTTGGTACAACTGTTTTGGGTAACTAACTGCTTTTCCTCATGTTTTTCCAGAGACCGAATTGAATAGCGAAGACTCTGAGTTCCTTCTCGTCCCTGTGTACTGCTCATCATAATAGTAGACAGAATAAAACTTGAATTTTGCACTGTGATAAAATGCAATCGGTATTCTGGATCAATTTTATTATGCATTTTGGGATAAGGGATTTAATATACGTTCCAATGTTGACCAAAATACCCCTAATTTGGGTCGCAAGTCGAAATCTATATTCTTAATCCTTCAACTATTCTGATCGTTGTTTTTTAAGAGGATTTATGTACTGATAAAATTCAATTTTCGCCTTACATGAAAACTGTCAAAAATGCCGAGTGTGACACAAGAAAGTTCACAGTTCAGATAAAAGTGTATCACTAAATTATAGGAAAAAACAAAGATAAAGCGTGTTTAACTTACTTCAAATGGAACAGAATCGTAGAATACTGCTAAGAACCAGTTTAGCGTGATTGCGCTAATGTCGATTTCCATTTTTTGGATATGCTCCGCAAGCCGCGGCAATTTGCTTGATAGTAGGTCCTTCAAGACTAACTGGTCTACCTGGGCGTTGATTAGTCCACAGTTGAAATATTTCTCCGGAAGGTATCTTTCTAGAATTGCAGCTAGACACCTAAATTGATGAGAGTAAGATTTAAAGCCGAGTGTTCGTCAAAACAGTTATTATTTCCACTAGGTTATTATGAAGGGTATACAACAGACCAACTGCAGTGAAAACAGTGATAATTATGATGCTACTAAGAACTCACCAGAAGGCATCTTCTTTGTTGAGAAAGATTAGTGCGACCGCCACGAGAAAATTCATTCCCTGACAGTAACCAATGTCCGGATTGTGGATGCTATAAGCCTGAAGTATTTCTTGAAGCTTCTGGATCTACAGAGTAAAAATATTTTGAGGGATTGATTGCGACATCATGAACGACAAAAGTGCTGTTAGTTTCAATAATTTGCGATTGCTTTTGAGTTCATGATTTTTTAGGCTCAGAAAAATCGCTCTCCTTTAGTTCAACCGCATCGGATACAAGCTTCAAACGGATTTTATCGATTAAATTGTGCCCAATGCTCATAGCATTGAATAAGTGCAAAACATTTCTATTGGTACTGGAAGAAGTGAGTCAAACACAAATTTTTGGTGATAAATTTGGACTATTATGGATGTTTTATTCCAAGTCAGTTAGCAAGCAAGCATTAAATAGACTGTGAGAGGAGTGTGCAGAATGGATGGAAACTATTATATGTATAGAGACGATATATCGGGTTGCCAACACCCTTCGTTTGCTACGCATTCGTCTACAGGGCAAGTAACTTCTACTGATCATTGTTTGATGATCAGTAGAAGTCAATCTATAAGGTAAGATGTAATTATTGTTCATTGAATAAAGAACCACATGGCTTAGTATATGACCAATGACCAAGTAATCCTTCTACATTCTATTTATGAAAAACATCGTACGGATTTCAAATATTAGATTGGTGTAAAACAAAGGTTTCAAGTCACATGTTAGGCGATTAATTACAGAGCCACTGTTCGTCAAGAGTGGCCAAAATGACGTTAATCGATCGGGTGGAGCCTAACTATTAGTTCTTGATGTCGTTCACCTTCAAACTCATCCCTAAATAAACACGAGCACAGAGCTTTAATTATTTCCACACTGCAAAACCCTACTTACAGCTATTTATTTTCGGTTAAATTTTAAATCGTTGGTCAATTTTTGATCTATTGTTCATTTGTCACTCCGTGAACTTGTTCATTACCCAATACCGACCCAGAATGCTATTTCCTTCCCTGAAAACAATCACAAACTTAATTCTTTTTGCCGGATGCGCTCGAACACTGTTCTGACGCCACATTGCATGAGTCTGGTGATAATGAATGAATAAACGGTACATTAGCTGCGAGATATTGTGCATAAAGCATCTGCCGCATAAATTTTCTGGAACAGGGATCACTCAATATCTGTTAATGTTATTCCTTAAGTACGGAGAGGAATGGGGTGTTTAAGTGTGAAAAATCATCCATGGCGGTTCACTAGTATGGAAAACAAATATATATACTATTCATATGGCTATTCATACAAAGCTAACGGGTCTCCACGTTTGGAAAACCTCAGCGGCAATGAACAACTATTCCATTGTTTGTTGAAAATCAATAAATTGCATACTCATCGGACCCAATTTGACTTATATTTAAGCGGGAGGATTTTATTTATTTGACGGATTTATCAATTGGTTATTTTCGCAGGCTCCATTGGCATCTTCATTCCAACTGAAGGCGATAAACTGCTCGTGCAGCAGTGCCATTGGACATATAAAAATAACCCGACAGTAATACACCAACTGATAGACACTTAAAGTGCATCCTCCTACAAATTATCAAGAAGTGTGCATATAACGTTTGGCTTTTTAATGAAATGATTTTGCGGAATTTATTGTTCTAAGAAAAAGCATCGCTATGTCAAAAGGATTTGGCATAACACGTTGCCACTTAACAGCCGAGAGCACTTCTACAGACTACAAGAAGCACTTACCCCGGGAGCTTCGATACTGTCAAACAGGACGTTGTTAGGCATTGTCCGCAACAGATCCAACGAAATTTGTTTCCGATATCGCGTAGCGACCTGAAATAGAATTGCGATGGGCAATGGTGCAAAACATCAAAGAAAACCGGTATATTCACATGAAAAACAATTTGTTTCAATCAGCTATCGCTTGTCGTTATGGATCATTTGCTTACTTTGCTCTCACTTATCTCCGAGATAAGCCGATCGTAATAGTGTGGTCCTTTCTCACTCATGATTGTCTTCATCTCACCATAAACCAGCATGCGCCAAATCCCACCACGATGCAGAGGGGGAACACCCGCGCGACAAAGATACTTCAATTCAGTCTGTTCATAAAAAGGTTGACCATTGAACGGGAGATAACCAAAGGTTAATAAAAAATGTAAGTACAATAAATCAATTCGTACAAGAGATCCATTGAAAAAGATCAACCACAAAGCAGAGATTCCATGGTACCATGCAACATGATTTGTTTGACGCACAGTCTGGCGTCAGACGTGTGTGAAATATATATGTATAAATTTCAATATGGTAAAGAAAATATGTGGGTGTTAAATCATGGCGAACTTTTCCTAGAGCCATTCCACTAAATTGATGAACCATAGAGGAATATTCCGTAAACAACACTTGTTGTATTTTATTCAAGTTTCCTGATAAAAAGTTCAAGTTTGATATTGCTTGATTTTGTAATCCTCGATGAATCATGAAGCATCATGGTTGGAAAGTAATGCACCATTGTAAACTCCCAGAATGAACTCGAAAGAATTTCGATTTAGGACTTGAGGATCAACCGTGTCTCTGACTACATCTGACTATCTGGTTTCAGTTACTAACCGAGTAGAATGAAATGAAAAGAAACACATTCGTCAAAATTATTTTTGCACTTCACGTTGCCATTATATGTGACATCCATTTATTCAGTATTGTTTTATTATACCGATGATTCAGCTTGTGGTAGTTAGCTTAATACAACGAGTCTTTAAATGCATAAATTTTGATCACCCAATATCAGGTTTGGCCGAGAGACAGTTCGAAATAAAACAGCACTAGTGTTTACTAAAATACAGAAACTACAACAAAAGAATGGCTCATTTTCGAGATCGTAAAAAAGATGAACACCAGTACAAAGCCTTGCTCTCAGCGTGTACATCTTACTTGGTTTAAAAATGAACAAGCTGTAGGAAAAACTATGCTCCTTGCCATTTTTTTATCGGTGTAGGGTATTCTGGTAAGCAGTTAAGAACGGTAAATAGTAATCAGGGCAACATAAACCCTTTGATGCCATGAATGCCAGCGGTAGTAAAACGAAAGTAGGTCACGAGAGTTCTACACAAAAGGCATTCATTTTATAACTGATGCATTCGAAATAATTACGGTTGTGCATGACTCCGGAGACTACACGATTTTATGAATGAATGTTCACCGTTCTTGACGGCTCTTAGAAGCATAACCACAAGAGGCAACATGAGTTTCCTCTATGACGATTTTTGCAGTACGTGAGATAAAATAATTCATGAACTGTGAAATTACCAACGAGTTTCAAATGTGCAACAAATGAAAAACGGGAATCCCTAAAAATGTGGCTTTTTCTCCGATAAACATCGCTGAGCCAGCGTAACGCTGAACCGCACATTTTTGCAAACTGAAAACGTTTTTTCGGGAACCAAATTGGTTGGCATGCGTACGATCTAGGTATAAACCAAACGGAACAATTTTGACCCATTTTATTAACTGAATCTTGTTCTGGAATCCAAGTGGCCACAACGGCATTTTTCAAAGTTCACTGTCAACAAAAACCAAATTCCAACAAAAATGTTTTTCTCATTTCTAGACCAAATCAATCCCTTTGTGGCGATGTAATGGCGAAATAGAGATGAAAAAAATAAAGCGAGTGAAGTACGTTCCGAAATTACTGAGAACAAAGACGAGTCAAACCACAAGAATGGTTTTCAGGATATCAGATAGGCCTTAAGAAAACTAGTTTCGCGTGTCAAATCCGCGGTTCACGCCGATGAACCGTTGACACGTAAAGGTTTTCCAGATGTAGTACATGTATGTTGATTGGCCTGGTCCTGAAAAACTAAATCTGACACAAAAGCAGGCGAACGGTTGTACGGTAATGCAAGGTATTTTTTATTGTAAGAAGGAATCGCATACCACCTGAGCAGAATTTATAAGGTTCGACGCTCGGTAAAATAATATCTAATGCAAATAAGCTCGAACGTGCTAGAACATTGGTGTTCCGCCCGTCATATCAACTGGGTGAGATTTTAAAATGCAACTAACGTTTTGCGAATTAGGACAATTGATGTTATGAAATGCTTGCGTCGCATTTAAAGGCAAATATGCAGTTACAATCCAAAAGTACCATTTCAAAGCATCACAAAGGGTACTCGTGGACTAATCGTATCGTCAAAATACGACTCTGCTTGACAAAAAGATACTAAATTCTGTGCTCTCCTGTGATAAATAGGAAAATTCGGAAAGTCATTCTACAATCAGAGACCAATCTTTTGCAGTCAAATTGTGGACGAAATGGTAATGTGCAAATTACTCAGGTCAAATTATTATTTATGGAAATAGAGAACGAATCACGTGATATTCACATACCTTTCGTTTGGACGATCGCTTTAGAAAGTATACCGAGAAGTTCCTGATTATCGAGTGCTTACTTCGGGGATAGCATCCTATGCTTGAGTCAGACGCTAATGTAAAGTAAAACTATTACAGCTATCGTGGCCATCATAATGCTAGAATTACGGGAGAAATCAACGGAAACGCAACGTGGCCTTGCTGTATTCCCGCTTTGTTTCATTTGGGATCATCTTAACAAACTACCGAAAATCTTTGGATATTGAATAATATTACGAATAACTCTGTTGTGCATATAAGTGCACATATGTATAAAAGAAATAAACACTTCAATAACCAGAGACCGAGGTTTTCTAGTTATCACAATCTGTCAGCAGGATTCGAAGAACGCTCTTTTATTTGGTTTTATGGAATGTGCCCGGAAGGACAAAACTGTTTACCACCACCACAGTTAATTGGGGAATATCATCATAAGAGTCACCACATTGTGCATTTGTGCCACTGCTGGACGAATTCGGAGTACGATTGTTTGTGAATGTGAATTACAAGTGAAAGAAACAAACAAACAAAAAACTGTTTTGAGCATAACCACCCCGTTTTACCAATAACTTTATTACTTGATTAAACCATTCAATCAATGTAAAATGACCATATTAATTTGCCATAATAGATAACCAGTAGACATTTAATAAATAATTAGATCAATCATTGATCGAGGAGATAAGTGAGTGCCTATCATTATTATACACACTGCCAAATCTTTTTTAACGGACTGTTTCCAAATCACTGTCTTCAAGCCAATGCTGTCAGTTGTCCTTAGAGCACAATAGGCTGTGAAAAACGTCCTGCTGTGAGCCACATTTACTGGGAGTGAAGTAAGGGAGCGGATTGCTGCTTGGAACCGAAATCCAGGTCACATTTCCCAAACTTGAGTACATACGAATTCAATGAACGAAAAGTCAAAAATTGTATCATAAATGAAAGAACTGCACTGCGCGACTTAGGATCATGATGGATTAGTGTGAGTGAAATAAAATGGTTTGCTAAATGGAGGCTTCAGTTGTGTTTTTTCAACGGATACCAAGAACGTAAACAGTTCCAAGCCCAAAATAATTACTGTCAACTTTGTACAAAAAACAGAACTTGGGGTCTGAGGAAAACTAATAAAATAGGTGTCAGTACTAATTGGGTATTTTTAATTCCCGAATATCCGATGGGATGTTCTAAGTCAGGTTAAAAACGTTACACGAGATCTCGGTGCTTTTGACGTCTATCGCCCAGATCTTTCCAATACACGGGAGATATCACTGTTTGCCCTTATTTATTCGTACGAGCGAGAATACGCCTATTTGTACTAAACTCAAGCTGAATTTAATTAGATCAATGTCGAATTAATTTCAGTTCGTGCAATTCGCCTGCTGCAGTTGTGATTTCAGGACAGTCGTGACATGATACGCAAATATTAGTATGATTAATGGAATTTAAATCATCATGTTATCCTCTGTATTGCATTTAAAATGTTCCTTTCTGCTACGTTTATACGTTTAATCCCTTTCAAACATAAAACAGGACGGATGAAAGCATATTTCATCAATAAAGCTACATAAAGTATGCCATTTTTGGTACTGTTAGTCAGTTGAATACATACACTGAAAACGACAGAAAGTTGTATCCATTATCATTAATATCTAGAGTTGCTTAATACCCGCGGACGACGTACATGTGTAGAACTCTCAGAGTTCCGAATCTAAAAGAATTCACGATATTCTTCCACGGAAGGTTTCAACATTGTTGCGTAACCTGTAGAGATTTAAAAGAAATCTGGACCTCATCACCAAAGTCCAGGCACACAAAATTTTCTCTACGTTTGATGATTTATACTCGGAACTTTGTTTTTGTACGCCCGAAAATTGGCTTGAAGGTGTCTTTGAGGTCGGATTTCCAATCGGTTTGAGCCCCCAAAATCCATGTTGGGGATCGCAGCATCAACTAAATCAATTTCCTTTGTCAATTCCTATGTGTGCACTTATTTGTAGATTAGTTTTCTATGACAATTAATTAGCCGGACAAAACGTCAGCTTATTTGTCAACCCGTATGTTTTCTGGGCTGAAAAGTAACGGTAATGTTGAAGAACGGTACGAGCACATGCAACTCGGCAGTTCGCACAAATCTAGATCGTTTTTGACTTTATGGATAAGCAAGAAGTAAAAAACGCTATTTAGGTTCGAATGAGGTACCACAACGACAGGTGGGGCACAATTTGAGTAAGGATTCAGAACGGCTACAGAACACATTTTCCTAGTGCTGAATATTAAACATGATTTTATTCCCAAGGCAATCAAAGGACTTGGAGTACGTGAGTGAAGCAAATTTTCCGGTAAAGGAATTGCATTCACAATTGCAGGGAAAGAAGCTGACTATAAACTACAAGAGTAAAAAGTCAAAAAATTAGTTATAACAAAACCATAAATATCTGCTGTAAAATGCTTTTTCTGCAGACACTGCAACCGAATGAATCTGTTTATGCTGCTTCCATCGAAGATTTCCAACTGGTAAACGCTCAGATCATTGATCTATGGGTTAATAGCATGGCTAGCCTGTATACTATCATGAAAAATAGCGTTTCGATACCAAGTTCTTTGAATATCTGCTTATTTTAGTGTTAGTTGGTAATTAAAAGCTGTTTTTGTCGCTATCTAACGTTGCTTTCACATGATTTTAAGGACTTTCCAGGACATCACTTTTGGGGTGCAGAAAATTCCTCAGCATTTCTCAATGGAATTTTTAGCGGCAGCATATTTTGATATGCTTCAACCGTCACACTTTCTGTGACCACAGGTTTTCTGCACATTGTGGTTTTGTTTTCCCTGGAGGCATTCCAACCAGAATCAATTGTACCACCAAAAGCTTCTGATCGGTGCGTGAATTTGATCTAAGCTGTCATTTTCAGCGTGTATTGAACAATTTAGCTTACCCTAGACAGTTCCCGCGTTGGGTTTTTCAAAACTTCAGCCCACTGTGCAGCCGCTTCGTTTTCGTAGGCCAATTGACGGGAGTAGAACTCGCGCAAATGTCGACAGACAAAATGCAACACTACAGCCTCGTCCGTGTAGCATTGTTTAAAACCAAATGCGTCCACATGATATTCCGTGTGTTTAGGTCTGCAGTGGACAAATGATGACGGAAAAATATATGACCGGAAATCGAAAGATGCGGGTGAAATTACAATTAATGGGTGCAATAGATCGTTACCAGATACGCATAGCTGCTTTCATTCTGTGCAATCTGAAAGTTATCGACCCTCAAAGACGTATTCTCTTCAGCTCCGTGTCTATTTGAATACGATTGATCATGGTAATCAGGGATTCTTGGTTTTACTTTTCAAAATTATTTCACGATTGGGGTTAGATGTTTGTCGCATTAGATATTGGTCGTGAAGGCACTACCACACGAGATCATAGTGTGCAACGTTAAACTGTAATTAGCCACTCTGCGCTATTCGAGTAGCATAGCATAGAACGACTGTTTAACGATCTACAAGACGGAGTAAAAGTCATTATCCATTTGGCACGTCCACTTGTTTTCCTAACTGGAACTCGTACAAATTTAGCTAGTCTAACTTCATAAAGTGTAATCGTACGGTTACGGGCTTTCTTAGATAGGCTTGGCTAACGCAGAACAGTTACCTCAATGAAGGTTGTCTAGTCGAGTTTGACGGGACAAATCAATTGAAGGCCCGTTACCGTGCATCACGCAAGAATTGAAAGTTGATAACAACAAACTGAAAACTTGTGAATTAACGACTAAGCAGAAACATGGCGCGTTAAAATTAATTATAACATGTACAGTGTTTGCCTTGGACTGGAGAACTCTGTTTCGATTGTCTCATCCAAATGTAGATTCTACTCAGATACTGTATTGGTAATCTAGACCCATTACGAATAGAATGCTTCTGACGCCTTCAAAGCCTAGGTTAGTTGATGGGCATTGCAAGTAAAGGATGTTTCTCAATTTATTGTCAATTGACAAGAGTAGGATTGAGGTCTGCTAGTTCCTAAGTGGTTCTGGTGATGCATACTATCGGGTTTCTGAGCGCACGATGCATTCATCAAGTTGACTGCTTTGCGCTTGGATCCGAGGAAGGGAGAATAATGTTTCATGAGGGCACTTTCTGGTTCAGACTGACATAAATCGCTATTTTCTATAACAGGAAACAAGACGGATTCAAAGGGAGCATCCGTGCAGCGAAATAGACGCATATTCTGCTATCTAGTGTGGAATGAGCAGCGGTTACGTTGATGACAGTGGTAACTCACTTGTTCAATGTGGGTAATGAGGGATCTTTTCTTCTGGCTTCTTCGATCAATTCACACAGTTTGGATTTACACTGTAAATAATATACAGAACGCAAAAGTTTCTGTTTTTAAAATAAATTGATGTTCTTAGTTAGATACGGACAAGGTGACCGTATAAAAAGTTTGTGACTTTGATCTTGTTTTCGTATGGAATAGGCCACATTCACTCCGATTAAGGTGTTAAGAATAGGACGCGCCGGCAACTACTGTACATTCCGATATCAGGAATGAATAAGTTATGGGAAAAACAAAAGTGAATAAGAGATTTGATACCGAGTTGAACTTCGTTGTCTATGCTGTATTTAGACAAATGAATTAAAAGTTGCAAATCGTAATTACTTTTCCGGGACGAATGATCCAAGACAAAATATCCGTCGTGTTGAGTTCTAAGACATCTAACAAACCGTGTTGACTCGGAGCAATAAGGTAAATTATACGATGAATACTTCTGTCTGAAATTAGTGGAATAGTGAAATTCAAGAATACCGTTTGATCATTTAATCTTCACAATTGTAATCCAATTTGCTGCTGAAAACTCGCGCACCTGATTCAGTAATTCGTTATTCATCAGCGTCGAGTGGGACTCACTCTTCGTATCTAGATATTCCCGTATGATTTAAATGAGTCTATCTTATGACATGGCGGCGGCAGTCGACTGATAAGATCGTCGAACTAAATCACCATGGACTCTGAGTTCGAATCCATACATGGTCGTTAATCATCCCGATACCTGTATTTCCCCATTCAGTTTTTGCATGACCAAAGCCCCTTTCCTAAAAGTATATTGCACATTTCTATAATTAGTAAACAAACAGAGATGAAAAGCATTTATTATACATTTTTATAACATAGGTCATTGTTTCTGGATAGAGGAAATCTCTTGATGAAGGTCAACCACTTTTACAATGACCACTTTGTATTCATATCCATTCATTTTTAGTTCTCGAGACTGGCAAAGTGGCTTCGCGTAAAAGAGTGACGATCATTGAGGGGAAGGTTAAACATTAGTCGATCAATTGTAGTGCTTTTAAGTAGTAACAGGGGTTTAGTATAAACTGTCAGGCAAAAGGATTTCTTAGTGGTTTGAGTGGAGTGGTTGTTATATATTTATCAGGAATCGATCTGCGTACATATAGTTGGCATCATCAGGAATAGAACTAACAAAACACTCCCTAGGTCTTTATGGTGCGTGCCATATCACCAGCACTGAAGCGTCTCATAAATTGGTTTGATGTTTTCACGTTTGACCATCCACCTAACCCACAATGAAAAATGGCCATATAGATCAGCTTGTGGGCTCGGATGAACTCGGCACACTAACCTAAGTTTAACAGCTACTACCCGGACTTCGTTTCATGTTCCGACTTCCTACTACTATCAAAAAGTATGAAATTTTCCTTTATGCAACGAGATTTGATTTGAACAATTACCGAAACATTAGTTCGGTAACTTATCTGATGAAATTTACTAGCATCGATGTATTTCTCCAATTAAATAAAGACTGATTAGTGTTTCGTTAGAAGAAAAAAACGGAATAACTCTTCAGTATCTAGCTATATGTTAAGTCTGATCCGTAAGTTCAACGTTGAACATGACCTTGTCGCTATGCATTTTTATCGTAACCAATTTCTCCTAAATACAATGTTTGGGGTAAAGCAAATGTGAAGAAATTACACCATGTGACAAAACATTTTCAAAAGTTTCAGCGTGTGCATCGCAGAACTAAGCTAACAGAACAGAAGTCGGTATGGTAGCAAATTATTTTGAAGCATGGGTTGTTATATTGGCTCGAAGTCCCCAAAAGACTGGTCAAAGTCAAAAACAATCAACTGATTACTGAACCCGTGATTTTATTTAACTGAATATTTCCTGCTTATTGCTCAGCAATGAAATATGCTATATAGACTATTATCCCACAAGAGATAGAAACACGAATGCTGTCCAGAGGGACAAAATACTCGCTAACTTTATTTTAACTCCTTAAACGATTATTATAGTTACAGAAACATTTATTTCTAAACCGAAAATTGATGGCTTTAGAGTTTAGTATAGCTTCTGGATTACTTGTTTAAAAGTATAATATGATATTTTATTCTTTCCGAAAACTCGGTCTTTCCATCGATTCCTTCACCAGATCACGTGACACAAAAGCAGTGAAACCGAGAGGATCGCCTGACGGCACCTGTATCGTGCTCCGATGGTACGGGTGGCAAAAAAACGCGAACCGGCGCCCACATGAAATCTGTTGTTTACATTGATCTGAGAAAAAACGTTTTGTCTGCACGTAAACACAGAGTGAATCTCAGTAACCAAATATACTGAAAAATGTTTGTGTTAGCCCTTAGATCAAATCACTTGAGGGTATTCGATCACGAGATATTTACCGGCAACAGTGAATGTAGTTTGAAAATGATCAACACTGATTGGCAGCAATGAGCAATTTAGATTGGATCTCACAAAATGGCACATTCAGATCCCGGAATATTCAACATCTCATTCCCAGTATTCAATATTATCATTGTTGAACTGCTTGGTGAGTCGTCTACTGTTTCCGAGTGATCCCAAACTTGTCATCACAAATCATACAGTGGAAAGTTGCTTACACAATGATAAGCATTAGATCAGTTTAAGGTCACCGATTTGAGTCGGGGGTTATGGGTTGAAGTAGGTATAGTTGAATAACTGGGTACATTGAATAATTAATGGTACCTTGGGTCACTTGGGTCAAGTGACACGTTATGTTTTGTCATGCTCCTCATACTAGATCAAAGGGTTTGAACCGCGTGAAAATGTACGCACCGAAGGATTGTTTTCCACACTTTAGCTGCATTGAGCTTTGTAGTTCAGGCTTTGTTTTTTACACCACAAAATATTCCATATGGTTCAATCAACTCTTCCACCGCTCTCATGAACAAAAGGTAGTCGGTTTGCAATGTTTCCAACCGAGTTTTAACCCAAGAGGCTGCGATGAGCGTGATACGACACCTGAAGCAAGCTCGCAAAATGGGTTGTGCTCTATTCCGTAACGGCCAAATAAAACTAGGACGGATTAGCCTCCTGGTGGCAGGATGTCCCAATGTGCTTTTGTACCATGGAGTTCCGGGTTCGATCCCCAGTTTGCTCATTGAGTTCGCACGGTTAATGAAACACTATCTTTCTCCTCACTCTTCGTACTAATTAGCCGAGAATGTAATATCAATTCGACCACCAACGGTTTAAAGTGGATGCTAGTCCTAAAGTGTCAGATCTGGAAATTGACATCTGAAATAAGCTTAAGAGCCCTATATATCGAAGGAGCACTAGCGAAGGAAACAATAAAGATGGATTTCATTTTGGAATCCAAAACCAAATCTTGCCGGCTCGCTGGCGGCATTTCAACGCAATTTTGCCGAGGAATCTTTTGTTCCCAAATGGAATGGAACGAAAGTGGGCTCCGATTGACACTGATTCAACCCATCTTATCAGGTAACTACTGAGAAAACGCAAAACGTCTTGTGTGAATGACATTCAAAAATTCCCAGCTAAATGTAACCTAGGCAGATGCAAGGCTTTAAGATCATGATTGTGGCGCATACATTGCCAAAGAAAGCCAAGTTGGCCCCTCAAGCGACAGCATTATTCTCCAGCTGTAAATACAGCTGGCTCATCCTCCAACGAAAAACTCTATTCTTTATCAAGAAAATATCCTCATTCTGACCGCGAAACCGCAGAGAATCGAAACTTGAGTTACTCGCCATGAAGCGGTCTTGTGAGTATCTCGTCGGATCGTGCCTATATTCTGGCGATTCGTTCGATCCGGCGATCTAATGAAATGCGTGTAAACGAAAAGATTTTCATGCCAATTTAAGTTGTGTGCTGCGTGAACTGCAGTGAAATAGTCGTCTAGTAGCAGTGTATTATCTTGCTGACATGTTTGTAGAGCACAGATTCCTCGGTAAACAAAATCGGTTGGCAGCATTACTCTTAATGAGAGCCCCCAATTAATCTGAGATGTTGTCTTTTGTGGGGGCAAGAGAGTGGATGGTTTTCATGTGATATATCTATCCAGCTTCCCCGTGCAAAAATGGCTTTTCACGGTTAAGCGTATCAATTGAATACAAAAATGAGGAGTCACCTGTTGTTTTCCATAGTCGCAGAATAGAAAACCATGAGTTGGATCAACCTGAACCGCACCAACGCAAGCTTCCAACAAGGTGACGAAATGTTTCTTCCACCGTATCACATCGGAAGTGAGCTTTTTCGTGTAGCTGAAAATCAGAACAGATTGCAAAGAATATCGACTTCACATACAACATTCTAAACACATTCCTGGAGGAAAGTTCAATTCCAAGTTGCATATCAAATTTTTATCAGCAAAACATTCATGTACAGTTTTTATTTTTGTTGGTTCATTCTAATATCTGACGTAACTTTTTTAACTCAAACCGCTCGATCACTCAACTGATGCTTGCATATTTTCGACGTGACATAATATGAAAAAATCTAATATGCGGTACTGTTTATCGGAAGTGTCCTCAATTATTGGTGCGTCAGTTACTTTTTTATAGTTATCGAAATCCTTACTCGGCATGCACATATTTTTCGCATCGACCAAAAACAACATGTTTTTTTAAATCTTCACCAGCCTGAAACGAATTTTCGTGTTTAAACATCGCAATGTGAGACCCGTGATCACTAAGATATTTTCCGTCACTTAGAACAAATGCTATCTTTGATTTACAACAACCTCAGCGTCTGTACACAGATCAGCACATGTATGATAGTTGTTGATCACAACCATGAGTAGTGCATAACACCGTCTCCCTCCCCACTGACGCGATCGGACCATTTTGGAAGAACAAGATAGAATGGCAGTTGTATGTATTCGGGTTTGAACATAGAATGTCACAACATAAACTGACAATCGCAAAAAAGTATTTGATTCGGGGAAGTCACAGGCACCGGGACTGTTCTGATGCATTGATGTCCCTGGAGGATCTTTCCGTGACCTAATGTGATGGATGCAATGAGTAGGGAATTGAATCCGAAAAAACGTTCCTCGTCAGAGATTGACTTTTCCTCAACGGTGAATCTCACACATCGGTCAGGTACAAAACGAAACGAAATTCTTCACCAAATTTTCGCCCCTTATTTAAAAAGGTTACCACAACTGTTATCCTTCAGTCGGCAATTCTTGCGACATAGAAATTGAGAAGCAAATGAGAGTTACAACTGTCTGTTTGTATGTATGACGCAAATAATACTACCGTTTGATGCTCACTCACCGAACTTGTTTTGCTCCATGATCGGTCAACATCTGACGTAATATGGACAGATCGTGGACTTCGGAGGCAAGGAATTGGGCTCGATTGGCCATGTGACGTCGCTTTCGTTCCATTTGTACCAGCATGTCTCGCAGTTGTGAACATGATGCACCGATAGGACTAAATGCGTAAAGATATAATGGTTAAATGGTTTGATAAGGGATGAATCAACCGCAGCGGAACGAACAAGCGGTGTACTTGTAGAACACCGGATACCAGCTAAGGGTATTGATAAACCAAAAAGTACGTGAAAATAAAATTATAAAGTCACTCTCGTTGTCTACAATATCTGAATGAGATGAAAACATATACTTTGGAAATAAGTTCCTCCTTCTTACTCCCGGAACATGTTTCATCACAAAGTGTCGCACGCCAGTCTCTTGAAACATTTTCGTGGTTCACCTTTTTACTTGCATTACATTTCCCGCAGTTAATACCACTGTTACCCAGTGCCTGTTGCATTCAAAATTTCTGACTTAGATACCTGTCCTAACTATCGGTATCCTTTATGGTTGCATAATCACTTTTATTATGTTTTTGACTTTTTGAAATCATAATGCTCATTCTTATCGCAAATCGCTAGTTCCAAGCTATAGTTTAACAATGAATGATTATCATACCGCGTTTTTCTCTAGACTAATTATACCAACTTGATGATCCTACAAAATCCAGGGCTTTCGGTGACAGATTTATCCAAATCCGACCTTACACATTCACGGTTGAGTGCTGTTCGATAGCAACTAGCATGCCCACAACACAATGATCCAAGACACGTGCAACACCTTCAAAGCAATGCATAAGCAAGCATGTGATCTCGGTGCTGGTCTGTAGTTTAACCTTGTATCACGTGATGATGTCGCCAAATGGACCTCTCCCACATCTCTTCACATGCCACCACCTGATTGAACTTTATCTATAGACAGTACCCGGTAAGAGTTGTTATCACCAAACAAGCTGGCAAAGTCGGTACTACGGTAGATAAGTGAAATAGTAGATTAATTTACAGAACAGGGTACTGCAACTCCGGTTTTCTCAAACTTCACAATATCGACCAGAACACACACTGATCACACATTGAAACTATCACGTGACACTATTACAGGATAGAAACACTGACTGATTCTGCCACAAAATGCGGATGTGATTGTTTTTTTCAGGGACAGGGGCAAAAAGTGATGCACAGATTATTGGACTAGTTCACAATTCAAAGTAATTTGGATTCCAGGTGGGAAATGGGGACAGAACTCTGAATACCATGGATATGAATTTAAATTTAATGAACTCCATAGAACGGAAGAAAGTATTGTATTTCTTTATTGATACAATCAACCGTTGTCAGCAATGTATTAAGCCAGATATCCAAGTGAATAGTACTGCGTTGATCGTTTTTAGTCAAAAACCTACGTGTAAATGACAAGATCTAGCACTCTTATTGTCTGAACTGCTAGATGTTTCTGAACACCATAAAAACGCTGCAAAACATTCGATCCGTTGACCTGAAATTACGTTTATCCGATATCAAAACACAGTTAAAATTATTGAAACCCCTAACCAATGCTGTTCGCGACAAGCCGTATTTGAAGTAATACATCTGATTTCAATAATCCATTCTCTAACCCCTTTAAACCATACAAAGTATTGATTTGTTTGGAAACTGTTTTTCCCAGGTCAGCTATGTCTCGGACAGCAGCAAATGGCCCAAGGGTGTGCGAGTGAATGTAGGCAAAATCCTGAACAGTACACCGTACCATTTCTGTCGAAAGATTCACAGCAAATTAATCATTGCTGACAAATGAAATTAATTCCTTACCATAACCATAAGCCAATTTCATGAACAGCTCATAGAAGCGAAATGGCTTGGTATTCATGGTATGACTAAAAAACGTCCATCAGCTCTGGATATTTGTCGCTCTCCACTTTCGACCTTCAATCGAATGCAAATCATCCGAGAAACATACCACGCTATACCATTGGAGTGGACTGTGGTCTCGCCTCAGGCAATAGTTGAAAATGATACTTTTTACCATCCATGTGCGATTTACCCGGAACGTAAAATATTTGAAAAGTTAAAGTTTATCTTCAACTGGGAAGAATGTCACGGAAGTTTATCGTAATTGCAACAATTTGTAGGTGGATGACCGCGGTTACTCACACAAACACTGTTGTTAAAAAATCTACATATTAGAATTGTCTGTTCCAATTAAACCTTTGGTTGTTGATAGCACAATTAGCACAGGTTTCCTCTTCCAAAATCATAAGACCGTTACAGCTATTAAATGGAATCAGTAAGAGACAAACTATTTCAAACGTTTTGAGTAGCTGCCATTAAAACATTCCGGGCAATAAGAGATAAGATTCAAACCCTGAAATGGTCGCTAAACTTGGGTTATGGACGCGTTTACCGTCGTGTCATTTGACACCTCGGTAAATTCATGAACTTCGTTACACCAGGCCCCGAAATTTAGGTAAGCAATGTCCATTGCATCAACAGCTAACTCATTGTTGAATTTAGTATTCAGAAGTAGTTTGATTAAATTTATAATAGGTAATTATCGAACCTCAAAATTAAACTATTCTATCTATTGATCACGGGTCAGCAGTGTATTTGACTCACATGTGCAGGTCCACAGATTTGTCCTCATGATCTTCGAGTTGACCAACTCGCTGATCCAACTCAGCTATAGTAGCTTCTCGCTGCTGCAGTAATTCACGCAGGTGCATTTCCCGTTCTTGATAAGCTGCAATTTGTGCTTGCGCTTCACTGAAAACGTAAAGAAGTTTAACATGTGAAGTGTTTGGCTCACAGATAAGTTTTATACACAGGTGATTCGGGCACATCTTCTTCCATCCATTCTGCAGAATATTTCATTATATCCGGACCAGTGTGGTCTAGAGTGCTAACTTTCGACATCCTTAAAATTCCAAAGGGAATGTAAGCTCATATGAGTTTGCTCAAAATTGGTTTATTCTATTATACCATTTGCTTGAGTCTTTTTCGATGTGTTTGTGAAGTCTAAACATGATTGGTTAACAAATATTGATCAATCAGCTTTATGCATGTTTCTCTGGTTGTCTGTCTGTCACTGTGTCTGTTTGTCTCTCGACCTGTCTGTCTTACTGCTGTCTGTCTGCTTTTCTCTCCACTGTTCTGGCTGTCTATACGTCTGTCTGTCAGTTAATATCTTGTTTACACCGCGATTTTGTCGTGAAACTGGTAAGCCTAAACGTAAACCATAATACATTCGACGCTCCTGAAACCTCTCTTTATTTCAGCAATAATTCATTTTTAATCGATTCATATACAGCTAACTCGAAGGAACATAAACTATCGCCAATTTTTCTACCCGGATCAAATTGACATTCAAAACCGTGGAGCAAATAGTGGACAAGGATCATGTGGTACCGATGAAATACAGTAGTCGTTGAGATCAAACGGGTGGATGTTTTAATAACAAAGTGTGCATCAACGTTATTGACTGTAACTATTGAGTCTTCCGTGTCCGGTTTGTTAGAACTGATAGAAGACAAGGGATGTAAAATGCTATCATCACTTTGGTTTCCCTTAGTCACTGCAACGAAAAACGAGCTGGTATTTATACAGAAAAGATTTGCGCAACTAGATGATTTAGGGGTTAACAGTTCGATGAGGGGGAGGGAGATATGAGATTCAACTAATCTGAGATAATCAATCCAATCTTCGGAGAACTGGTTATAGATTCCTCTTCCCACCCCTGACTATTGTCAGCTTAATCACTGAACTTATCAAAACGTTTCCTGGATAGCTACCAGATACTTTTAGATTGTATCAACTGAGACGATTAAAGAAACCATAACATTTCGCAATGTGTATAATATTGGTTCTTATCAATTATTGCGACTATTTGAAACAACTCTCGTTAAGCTCAACCACACAATTAACGAAGATGGGACTTCCCAGAGAGAACAACTTTAGAGTGCCACCCGATGACTGAGAGTTTGCTGGTAAGAAACCTATTTGCTTCACGTGATAGGAAAGAAAAGAAATAAAGTCCTTCGATTTAAAAAGAGAAACCATATTTGTGCATCTGTTTTCAATTGAAATAAACTTGTCTTACACAGAAAGGAATAGTAAACAACCCACTAGCATTGTCACATAATGTACCTTTATCATTTTATTTGTCCTCGAATAAACATGGCGCATATTTGTTTTTGAGCATATCATGATATCAACCTCGTATAACCTGATGCAACGAAGCTTTTCAGCACTAGAAGAACATGTCTAGCCTCTAATGAAAAGCTTCTTGATCCAACAACCACCGGCAAAACACATATTTGTAAGCTATTCATCCATTTGTTGACCAGCATAACAAACCTAGAAAGATAAGTGTGTGTGGTGTATCATTTGTGGGTTTAGTTAAGAAGGGGCTTCATTTAGATGATGACCAACAATTTGTCTACACTATCAGAATAAACAAAGTATGCGATTATACGCTTGGGTAAATGTAAGGTATCTCAAAGAGTCGAATTACCCGCCCTAACCACATGTCCCTTTTCCCCTTACCTTGAAGACCCGAGGAACCCCTTCCCGCAGGAGGACACAAACAATGCCATCCAAGAATAGAAGAGAGACACGCGAAGATTGATTGTTTTGATCGATTCGATTGTAACTGTCCATTTCCTGTGTGACCCTTGACATCCCCTAACGTTTTGTCCGCCCCTGTTGTTCCCTGTTTGTGAGTTCCGTGCTTTCGGACTATCTTAATATAATCGTCAGCTTGTGTTGTGACTGCGTTCTTCCCTGGAATAATGCCTATTGACTGTGAATCCTGTTTGGCCCCGGTAATTGTCTCTGTGAAATAGACACGTGTCGAAGTTACTATGATTGGCATTACCCTGCGTAACCGAATTCCATTGCAGGGCCCTTGTGGAATTATCTACACGCCCAGGATAGTGTTTTATACTAACGGACTACCTAATTATGATATATTACATTTCTGGCGACCCTGCCAGGATTCATCATGCCGAGGAAAATTAACCCTGAGGAAACATTATCTGAAGAATCTACAGTGGGTTTTGGAACCCTCGGAATGCTATTGTCCCAACTCCTTTCCTTATTGTCTTTCGTATTACGAGGCTTGTCAGGTACATACCGAACCCTCTCCGAGCCTTCCCCCACCAAATAAGTTTTTATTGGGCGATGACTTCCGGCGATGGACGGCAGACGCAGGGGAATACGTTGAGCTGTTCCCTACGAACGATCGACGGAGTGTTTTGTTCTACCTTTTGGAAGTCAAAGCAAAGGATATAGCAAGCGGCGTTATCCGACCCAGTGATCTGATCTCCGTGAGCAACTTTTCTCGGCTGCGGCAGTATCACATGGACGATACTGACAGACTGACGGCTCGCTACAAGTTCCAAACGACAATCTAACAGCCCGGCAAAAACATTCTGTGAAATAGACACGTTTCGAAGTTACTGTGATTACCATTACCCTGCATAACCGAATTCCATTGCAGGGCCCTTGTGGAATTATCTACACACCCAGGATCGTGTTTCATACTACATACCTGATTACGATATATTACAGAATATACATTCTTTCTCCCATGAGTACTTCTCTTCTTCGAACAGAATCAGTCTTTTTACTCGTACCCGATATCTTACAGTAGGTAAAAATGGGCGCTTTTCTGTCTACTTCAGAAAGCTTCCAGGGGCACATGAGCTGAACTCTGAATAGCAATCATGTCTGGATCGGAAAACAAAAGACTACTACCCATATGAATTATTGATTGATTCTATCTGGTGGTACAAACTGTGTTCTTTTTCTCAACACCCTCCTACTGGAAGTGAATATTAGTAGCATGAATGTACACTGTGACTGAACCGCCTTTCAGTTGTCAAGTTCAGATCGGTGCTAGACTTAGGTTCTGTGGGTAGTTCCATCGGAGAAAGAATTTGGTCTTTAACTCCGAAAGGACATATTATGCAGCCATAATACAAAACATTTGAGGCGTGAAGCCATAATACACATTAGAGCAGTCCAACAAGGTTACCTCTTGAATGTATATAAGGGTAAATAAGGGTAAAAAAGAAGAACAGTCTACAGTAGCATTGGGAAATAACCATATTTTTGCATTTATTCATGTAATTAAAATCAGGTTTAATCAGTTTCAATTAAAAAAGAGCGTTTGATAAATGCAGATGAGAATTTCCAAAATAAAAATGTAACTGGCAAGTGGCTCAAATTTCAAGGTGAGAGTGAATTGTATCCCAATCAACTTTTCAGTATGTTTACCAAACATAATAATAAGTGCATTTCAAGCTAATTACTAAACGGTAGACATAAAACGTGATTAGAAAATTGGGAATGATATTTGTTTGCTCTTATGCTAGGGATATTATATAAATAAGCCGTTTATTTGTGTTTGGTGCTTGCACAACAAGTATTGAGGGAGGTCACGGAATAAAATCTTCACAAACAGCATCATAAGGATATCCATCAATTTATGGTTTTTTGATTTGGATTAATCATAGTATATGAGATGGTGGGAACTTAATTAGAGTATTACTTGCCGACTCGCTGCAGCTGGAATAAGTTCCGTCATTAGTCTTATCACCCATGACCTAGAAGAGCTCTTTACTTTCGTATTCCATTCTTTCTGTCTCTCTTCCTGTTTGGTATGTGTTTCTATCAACTCAACAAAAAACCCGATCAAGTACGAACAGAATGCGTTTTTGACTGTTACTGTGACTTTTGTAGTAAACTCAATCCTTATGGTATGTAAACATTTCCTAAATCCTTTGCGGTATAATCATCAACAAGCAAAAATCAAACTGCTTTCCTCCAGTAACACCATGTTGCTACTTCGCGTTATAGTGGCACACGGGGTCAGTTGGTAAAACCGTGTTTAGTTTGGTGTGGCGTAAACAAAAACATGGTGCCGAATTATTAACTTCGGCTAGAATACCCTCTTCTAAGAGAAATTCCTTCGATCTCTAGATAACTAACACAATAAAAGAACAAGTCACATCTGGATACATTTGATGGAAACAAAGCACGATATTACCAAACGTTTGAGACGAAAATTTGGAAGATACTTTCTCGAGTAGCGATTTCATTAGCTTTACAATCACAAATATTTTGGAAGAACGAAACGACGAAGTTAAATGAAAGAGGAATGCCGAAGATAGACGGAAAAAATCTTCCTTACCTCGATAGCATACACAAATGAAAATCAGAATACTGAATGTAACTGGGCAACAATTTGCCCAGAAAAAAATCTGATCATGACAAAACAATAAAGTTCAAAGTAATCAAATCCATAAATGAGCTCTATTTACCTTGATATCTTTGTGCTTTGAGTAGGAGTGCAAATCAAATTTCGTTGGGTATAATTTTAGACAAGGTCACTGTCAACCGGAGATTAAGACCATCAATTAATTCATTGACCAAGTGCGATTTGAGTAGGCCACTGTGAAGGTGTGTAAGCTCTTGAAGTGTAACTACAGGTAACGTAACTTTATGTACCTAGCGAATGAATCATTAAAAACAACAGAATGTTGCTAACGTCGTCGGAAATATTGACCAATGAATTAGGCACTGATATTTAAGTATCAAATCATTCATATTAAATCAGCACTTAATTTATCTTTGTATATAATTTATTCCGTATGAATAATTCAATACTCTTGATATTAGTTTCATAGTTGTTGGACAATAATAAAAAGGAAGTGAACACCCTTTTTTTGCTGATGATCTATCAGGTACGCTTATCAAGGTACGCCTCTTCCAAGTCACATTCGTACATTTTCTTCCAAATGCTTACGGAACTTTTCCACAGCACTTATTTTCCATTTTTTACTGTGACTACTAGGAAATAATTAGTAATATATAGTTGAAATCAGTGGAAAAGAACCTGTTCGATACATCAAGCTAATGTACAAAAAAGTCATTCACAGTAAAAGCAAATATGCTCAATCAATAATTTCTTCAACAATTTCTTATGTATGTGTAGTCATTGATCGCTTGGTTAGTTAGTTAGTTTCCTCATGAACTCAGTGTGTTAACCACTATTAATAATTGAGTCCGTCTAAAAGCATCTTAGATATATAGAATCAATAGTAGAGAAACAGGTTAAACACCGTTTTTAATAGTATTGCACAATGCAAAATATGGTATGTTTGAGGAGTCTGCAAGATTTTGTTGCCCCAGCTCATAGAGCTTCGTGCGAAGTACACAAATTACTTCTGTGTATAGCCCCTCAAGCTGACCAAAGAAGCACTTGCCCCACTTATATTCCCCAAAGCAGAGTATTAAATTCTAGAGGGCAAAACTAATTAGCCGCGGTGATTCCCGTGATCTGAATATAGATATATATAGTAGAAGTCGTCCTATCTAGAGCAAATGAGGCCAGAATTAAAAACTGTAAAACACTGCACGACTCTCTTGACCTGGTTTGGTTTCATCACCATCGACCCAAATGTGTATAGAACCGGGGAACAAAAGGTAACTCACAAAACTGTCACCACCCCAGGGCCAAATGGAAGTGAAAAAGTAATCAGGCGTGGTGTATACAATACTGTGTCACGTATGTGACCAAACCTATATGGGTGAGAAAAGCAAACATCTACGCGCTTGTTATGAGAAACAAAGCTTGTCATTTTATGAGCTGATCCAGAGGAGGAAATCTGGAATCACAGTGCCACGAGATCACGACACTAAATGCAAATGTGCTGAGGCCAGCTAAGAAAATTAGAAAAGACTAATATTCAAAGCTACACACTCGATAAGTCTGTTCACTGGATTCTTCGATGTCGTTAATCACTGCTTCACGCTCGCAAATCTGTTGAGGATTAGCGAGCAACAGATACACGCCATAGTCGTGCATGAGAGGACGCTAACCTCATCAATTGAAAATGAATCCCAGTTTTTATCGTACTATTTCGATAAAATTTTACAACACAGAGCACTCTTTGCTTTGTAACATGGAATTTATGCACATTCTAAACATATTCAACAAATTGGATAAAAGGACTTTGTACATATAAGCAACCAAACTCTAAACAGTAACACTCACCGAAGTTTATTCAAATAAGGTTCATGTTGATAATAGGGTGCAATTTCATCTGTACCCGATAGCAAAGGGGTTGTATTGTTATCCGAAGAATGTGACGTCCGACCGGTGGACATGGTCGAATTGTATCCACTTATCGCGTATGCGGAATCAGTGGTAGTGTGAGGACTGTATGGTTTTTGACAACCTGAAATAGATGAGAACGATTTAAAAAGAAAAATCTTAAATATGGGAATACTGAACACAATTACAACAAAATTAAATTGCAGATTTTCATGAGTAACTCTGAATTGTCGGACTTTAGTTTTAGTTAATTCTAGGTTAACATGATGCAAAAAACTCTTCACACAAAATAGACATCATATTTATCGTTCGGGTGTGTAAATCAAACTTCGTGAATACTTAGATCCGTAAATAGTGCAAGGTTATCTGTCAAAGCAGATGAACAGGCATAACTGAATGGTCATTCATTTGAAGGATAACAAAAAACGTTTTTCCGTAATTGAAACAAAAAATGCGTTTCGATCAGTTGGGTGGATAAAAATATTATCCGTTTAATTTTTACTGGCCTCCAAAATTAAAGCACGCTTCAAATATACCTTTTTGCAATCTGTCAAAATAATCTGTTTTTTCTTTTCTCATTCTACCATCATTTTGTGCAGCATTCATTACACCATTGGACTGCAATATGATCATGATTGAAATTATCTTCATGTTTCGCATCTACGCTTTACTGATTGAAATGTGTCTCACAGGGTAAGATTATATCATCGTTTTGCTTGGTTTTCTTTCTGGCTTGTAAGTTATATCGTGCTAAAAACATAGAAGTTTCATCATTTTACGCAGGAGAGTGCACCACTTTCAATAATTTTAACTAGATGCTTCCAATAAACTGCTATTATTCTATGGGTTCTAGCACTAATTCAGGCTAACTCGTTTCAAACAAACTGGGGAATTTTTATTACTGTGATGTATTTCATCACCAGTGATTTCATTATTTCAATCGGTAATACTAAACACCTAGAAATAAATGGACATTTAGATAGAGCCAATAACTAGTGCCTATGAAATTGATCCATAAATGGTCACGCCATTAGCATAAGGATGCACGATCACTCTGTTCCGCAAATACGAGTAATCTTCTATTTTCTCGCCTAAGTTACGATCAAACTGAATCCAGTTGAACGTCATTACTGTGTTCTGCTTACCTTTCTCGCTTGAGGCTTCGGGGAAATCGGTTACTGGTACCTGGCTCGAGATGAGTGTGTCCATGGGTGGACAAGAGTAAGTATCATCTAGTCCACCTAGGTCTGTGGTTTCCGGTCCAGACACACTGNCACTGGACATCCGAATAATACCCGGATTTGATTGACTTATAGACGTGTGCCGCGAGGAACCCAACTTCCCATGCACCAGAAAACAAGGCAATGTTTTCGGAGGCATACTGTAAAACCGCAGCTTGTCGGAAATCGGGGCCGTGGTTGACACTAGCAGAGGAGGTGTTTGAATGTCTCGACCGACTGAGACTGAGTCTAAATCGTCCTCATTGTAGTCATTGTAGAGAAGCGGCGGAGTGTCCTTTGTGACTGCATACAAATCCTGTTCAGATGTGTTTGATATGCATCGAAATTTGATCGGAGAATTGGGAATTATGAGAGCTCGCTGAAGATCAGGTGACTGCCCATTGGCACAAATTATTGGCGTACCAGGGCGATTCAGCATTGTTTGTGAGTTGGTCATGCCCGGGCGCCAGTCCTTGCTGATAGGGGCAGGAGATGAACTGAATACCTCGTTGATGTCAAAAACTGGTGTATTGGCCATTCGCTTTGTATTTTTGCGAAAACACCAATGTGGAAAGGGTAAACAAAGTAGTATAGGATACATTAGTAATCAAATATTATGCTACCTTTCTTTTAGATCTATTATATACTTTATGGTATTTATGAGAAAATACACTGATCATAGGAAACTCAGATGCCGAATGATTGCATTCACATATTTTATTGTGTAAAGTAGTATTAAAGGATTTTGCAACCATTAATGAGTTACACAAATGAACTATTTAGTCCATTTGGTGATTAAAGGGTAACCAAACAAATAACACAAATCGACTACTTCAGTTGTGCACAGATCATCGGTTGTTTTTACTTAGTACAAACTTTTGCGGAGTTCCCGTCAAACAGCAGGTTGCTCTGAAATGACCACATAGCTGTGGGCTGCTGTTGGCGTAGTTTATTTGAAAAGGGCAGCTCTTATTGTATCATTCGTGTTAATTCCAATCACGCACTTGTTCTGATGCGCTTCACGCTTCGACTTGTCGGTTTTCGGCAAAAATCGCCTCCTCAGTGTGTTGACTCCAAATGGTAGTGCCAGGCTGAAGGTAGTTGCCTTTTTGAAACAACCATTAGAGTACGTGTCAAATATGTTACACAGACCGAAGCATCCCATCTGAAACAGACCGGACATGATTTCGCGAATCATGCAGAATAATTAATGGAGCAGACAGACAATAGATGCTCGTTTCGCGTAGTTACGATTCTGAACACAACTATTGCTACAGGAGGTCTTGTTCATTTTTTTACCGCTATGAGAAAACGCCAAGCACATCATCCTGGGCGCTCTATGCAAACTACTTACAAATCTGAGCAGCACCTCATAACAGCATTTAGCTTGTCATTGTCCGAGCTAGCCAACTGCTTGCGCACGTATTGAGGACTATCTGGGATAAGATCTGGGTGCTCATGATATGACAGTTTAGATCAATAGTGAAAGCAAATTCGATGTGTGACGCATGCTTTAACAACCTTTGCTTGTGAGGCTTAATGGAGATGAAGTTCTTCAGACACCGGATCTATCAGAAATTCGTAATCTTGATAGAGCAAAAGCGATCGATCCCAATTTGCGAGAATCAGTATAGGAACCGGTGGTGTCTGCAACCTACCCACATATAATTTGTGAATTTCAATATGGGTGGGGAGCTACCTACGTGGGCAAAATGGAGAGGCAGATGCGTACCCGAGTGGTCGAACACATACGACTAACAGTCGAACGCNGGAAGGATGAAATTGAGCGTTACACAAACAACCAGGCCATCAAGCTACTCTCACAGATCCCCTGCGTCATCAGTTGCCAGCCGTCTGCTGCAGACTGACCACCAAGCAGATCGCTGGAATGCGTTTCGGAGTGTTTACACAACCCAGAAGGGACGGCTACTAAGATTTACAGAGGTCATAGCAATCAAGTGCCGAAAGCCCATGCTGTGTCAGTAGAAGGATGTCTACATCAATCGGGTATTGCCCTGGTGACCACATAAGCGGAAGAATCAAATGAAACCACGTTGGATTTTCAAGTCCAGTGATATTTCAACAATTTTGTTTGTGCACTAAGAACCAGCTATACTACAGCGAAATGCTTCCATAATTAAATCGTGCTCGCTTGCAGTGTTGTATGCTTTGTTCAAAAGGAGTGAAGGCAGCGGATCTGCTGGGTTGGTTCCCATTCTTTTCAAGCCGAGGGGTGACTCTCTCGTCGACCCTGCTACTAGGTTATTTAGCAGCATTTGGTCAAAAGATCTCATCCTTATATAATGAAGTATTTCTCTGATTCTTTCGATCTTCAAGAAGAGATCGCACAAGGACTCCGTAGGATTATTTTGAATGCGATCATCACTAGTGTTACATCGTACGATGCCTACTATCTGATAACCTTAAGTGAGATCAATATCCGCGAGCAACAAGCAGGATTCTGATCAAGTCGAGGTAGCATGAACCAAATGTTTATCCTGCGTCAGGTGCTCAAACTACGCTACAATAACAACTGTAGTGTTCCTGGATCTGAAAAACGCCTTTGCTTCAGTTGACCGCAAACATCCAATGGGTTCACTGCTCACCAGCTCAGATGGTAGAGAGTGCGCGCACAAAGCGTAGGCAGCGTCCATGCTTGGGTTCAAATCCCACCGAGGCTACTGAACTTTTCACAATCGTCAAACAAATACCACAGAGGCAGGGATCACTGTACTTGTACATTTCTGGGTTCTTAATGGTCGGTGGTTAGGACACTTATTGCGCGTTTCCCGCTTTCGGTTACTGCACCACGCCTTACTATGCGGTGCACAACAGATGCTGTGGAGGCGGGGCGTACAGAAACAAAGCGATTGGGTAGAGTAAGTGTCTCCAAGCTTTCAAATTTTTGGCCCAAAAGACTCTGCCACTGGTTGGTTGGAGACACTGAATGATATGAAAACTAACTAGCAGCAGTTTCGTTCTTGTTAACAATTCTCATTCGCTCAAAATGCTTGAAAAGGCATGTATGCACAGTTGGGTTTTGGAGTGAGTTTTGATCATAGAGGTACACTTTTTTTGGTTCACTTCAATTAGTGCCAGTTCTCCTCCATCTGTTACGTTCTCAATCATTTTGTGTACGTTGTGCGGATCAGTGTCGTTTGCTTCACTGTATTTCACTGTAAAATGGTGGTGGTTACGATGAAGACAGGATTGAGGCCGCTGACAGCTCACACCTGTGACGTTCCGTTGAAAGTTGCCTGGTACAAGTCGTTGCCAACTTGAGGACAGTGAGGCTGGAGTGATTTGATCAGTTGTTTTCGGAGCGCAATGATGAGTTTGACAGTGGAATCGCTACTTTTTAGCCGTTGCTAATTAGCATTGCCATATGAGCTTCAATCAATTCGGAAGTACTTGACAAAAGATAGTTAGCATCACCTTGAAGCCCGGTTCCAGCTAGGAGATCCACGACTGTACCTGCTACTATCTTCTTACATGCAGTGCTCAGACTGACGGTTGGTGGGTTTTTAATTTTTCATGGTATTCTTCTTATATTCCGGCCTTCGCACCTCAACGTGCAGGTACATAAAAATGTACGGGCAGCCGAAGATTAATAATGATGTGTACTTTATCTTTTATATTAGTGTGTATGGTTTTTGGACTGTTGAAGAAAGTTGTCTGTGGAGTAGCGTCTTAAGAAGTGCCAGCATTGATTGAATATTTCACTTCCCACTTAGAATTCCAAAGGAAATCCTAGAAAGAAATCCTTTTTCTACGGTCATCTTATACGGTTTCCCAGTCAACGTTTCAGGATATCCCGTATTTTCAAACATTGAGCTCAACGTTGTCACTTTCAGACCCGACTTTTTGAGAAAATGTGTGTATGTATATCAGTTGGTATAAGTTAGTTTTTGTTTGATATAACGGCTTAGTCATTCATCTGCTCTACATAAAAAAAATGAAAATCCTTTCCTGTCTTTTTAAATGTTAAATGATGCCGTGAGCTTAGTTAATGGATGCCAAAAGTATCTTGATTGAAATGTTTTGCTTGAAAAGCACAGAAGCATCGTGCACAGAACGACAATATGGAGAAAGTTGTTACGGGATGTTCCAGTGGCGTTTATTTTGAAGCGTCGACCTTAAGGCCACGTGATAAGCAGCGGAATACTTGGCTGATCTAGGAAAAAACAATAAAACATCTCTATGGGTGCACGCAAATTCACAGATCCGCACACACACATATTTTAGTTAGAAGTGGCGGAAGAGAAAAAGTGCTTGAATGTTATCAATTATATTGGTGTCTCCCAATGTTTGTTTAATTGACTTTCATCGATGGCACCTGAAAACAACGTGATGAATAAAATGTTGATGAAAAAGCTGTTTTTATCGGAAACAAAACTACGCTTAACTAATTGGAGCGGACGAGTGGACACGCTGCCGACCAACCACTTAGTAGTTCTGGGTTAGAGGGTTATACTACCAGTAGCAGTTCTATTCTATTATGGGACATCAGAAATTACCGAGGAACTTGAACACGGAAGAAACCTTTGATAAACTGTGCTCGATTTAGGGAGAAGATTGGCTTTTCAAGAAATAAGACCCATAAAACGTTCAATCCTTACCCAGATTCCCACCTTCGTGAATTCTTGTGGATTCAACCCGCGAACTAAATGTTACCCGAGCTCCTCTTGGGAAAGGAGTGTTCACAGTGTCGAAGGAATATCGCCTATTTCATTTCTATTCTATAAATGAAAAACAATCCGCAGTATATCCCATTTGAGCTGAAGCAAAATGTTCAATCTCGCTTTTCAGTTGTCACTGAAGGCAACGTTGCTAACGAACTTGTTCTCGGCCATTCTTTCACTTGTTATTTAATTTTAATTGATAGCATAATATTTTGAAGAATATAGAACGGTTATACACCGAGAAAAGAAAGATGTACTTTAGTTCCATGGTCGGATATTTTTCACACGTTGGTTGTCAAAGGTGTTTTGGTTCGATCGTGATGGAGTGCGCGTGCGAGTAAGAACTGATTAAGTCAGATTTCAAGATTCCCATGTAGATCCAAACGTTTTTGGAAACAAAGCGGGGCTTTATACAGATAGATTCAGGTGATTAAGGATCAAATGCTGATCCCCCTAGATAAACGGCTAGCAGCGAAGCATCGGATGCGGATTTCCTAGGTCTCATTAACTACACGGTTTGATTCTGCTGGTTAGCTAGTAATTTATTCATAAATCTGGTCACTCCATTAATCAACCAATCGATTGGTACTAAAAGTCTCCTTCAGCTGTACGTCTGCTTGTGCGGTCAACATACTTTGCCCTAAACATATTTTGACCTGTTTCTTCCTATTTGTTTCTACAGTACAGTTACTCAATATCGAATAATCCTTGCAATGATGTGTGCAGTTTTCATTTCACTATAAACAAACATAACTTATGTTATTACCGGTTGATACCAGTGTAGAAGCATGATAAATAAATTTGGTAGCAAAAAAGCTGGCATGTGGGAAATAAAGAACGCCAACTGAGTTGTGCG